TATACCACCCTCAATTATCCAGCAATACCTGCTCTAAATCCACAAACATTGTTAACAAAATAGATCTGAATGTGTTCGGTGCTCACTCTCACAAGGTATAAAGGAAAGGTATGATGAATAACATCACTAAAGTATCACAAACTCCTTTTAAAATGAGCACAAGCAAGTAATGTATAAACTCAAACATAACTATGAAAATAACTACTTAGTATATATATCCACATTACTCCAGCGTTGATAACTGCATGAAGCTGTACTAACACCCTTTTTAATCACCATTTAAATTGTTTTTAATCACAGATTTGAATCTTCTATTAAATATGCTAATGAACTGACTTTATTTCATGAACTAGATTTTAACCAAACACCAGTTACTGTTTTCCATAACAATCTGACAAAATTATTAATAAAAGCATTTTACCACTGAATCTTACTTGAATTCTTATTAACAGTACATACTGAATGTGCTTTTAAATGTTATCCACATTACTCCAGCGTTGATAACTGCATGAAGCTGTACTAACACCCTTTTTAATCACCATTTAAATTGTTTTTAATCACAGATTTGAATCTTCTATTAAATATGCTAATGAACTGACTTTATTTCATGAACTAGATTTTAACCAAACACCAGTTACTGTGTTTTCCATAACAATCTGACAAAATGATTAATAAATGCATTTTACCACTGAATCTTACTGGAATTCTTATTAACAGTACATACTGAATGTGCTTTTAAATGTAATGGCTGACAGAGTGATGCTAAATGAAGCTTTATCATGTTAATGTGTTATCACAGACGTGTTTTTTTTTTTTACTCAGGCTGTATGTCACTACACACGACTAATCAATGTTCGTACACATCTATTTAATTCATCATCATTCCTCGTTTTGCATTCTTATCTCAACTATATGTATTTTTAGACATTTACTTCTCACTTTGCTCGTGCTGAAAGTTACTGGTCTTTCTTGGAGCGGATAACAGTCTCGTCCGCCATTTTATGTACGACACTCTTAATCATGGTTAAACAATCAGAATCAGAATGATCTTTATTGCCAGATATGTTTCATCACGTACTGAATGCTACTTCTGTTCTGTTAGTCAGCTACTGATGCGTAGTGTAAAGCTTGGGTGCCCCCTGCTGGCGAACCTGAATTTAACAAGAACAATTTTACGCAGAACATCGTGCAATCCAGTAATGCAAGTTAATGTCAAAATAATTTTCATTGTACCCAGACAACAGTCATTACAGAGTTCAAAATTTGAAGGGGCATTTTTTTTATCTGTCTTTTTTAAATACTCAGGGCTACACTCTCCCCCACAAAATTAAATGTCTCCTGACATTTCCGGGAACAACTAAAGCATTTGCTTAAAACACCTCGGCCATTCAAGGCCTCCAATAGACCTTAGTCTGTGTTACCTGAGTCTCTGTTACCTTACAGTTTCTTTGTACCAAGGACGGTTGACCCAGTGTATCATAATTCAGTACAACAGGCTGATGTCTCAGTCTCTGGGGTCACTGTCTTACCGTCTGTCTGTCTCCTTGTCTGGGGATCAGACGGTCTACCCCTGATCCACCATACTCAGGGCTATTAGGGTTCAACTCAGGTCTCTGAGATTGTAGTGGCACATCCTCTTCGCATTGTAGTGGAACTGGTTTCCGTTTCCTGTGTACCGTGCTGCTGAGTGGTTTGTGATTGTAGCTCCGTGTAGCTTTGCTTTTCTGTTGAATCTAGCTATCTTACTATCGCTCTCTGTTGTTTAAAGTGATAAAATATAACTTAATTCCCACCATATTTCTGATATTATCTATCAAACTAATCTGATTAATTTGATCGTTCGCTTTTATTCTAAAACAGCGAGTGCAGCGCGCTAGCATTCGTTAGCCATTTAGCTTGTCATTCGTGTTTCCATTCCATTCTTACCACTGTTTTCTTTTTTCTCTCACTCCATTTCTTTTCTCTCTTGCACGCCGGCGCTAATGATGTTCGACTTCACCAGTCGGAGATCACTAAAAAGAACATTAAAGAGGTGTGTGAACTTACAAGTATGATGTCAGACACTGTAATATGCTCTGGTCCCCTCCCTGCTTACCGTGGTGATTGGTGATTTTAATATCCATGTTGATAATGAAAAAGATGCATTGGGATCAGCATTCATAGACATTTTGAACTCTATTGGGGTTAGACAACACGTGTCAGGACCTACTCATTGTCGAAATCATACTCTAGATTTTATACTGTCACATGGAATTGATGTTGATGGTGTTGAAATTATGCAGCCAAGCGATGATATCTCAGATCATTATCTAGTCTTGTGCAAACTTCATATAGCTAAAATTGTAAATTCTACTCCTTGTTACAAGTATGGTAGAACCATCACTTCTACCACAAAAGACTGCTTTGTAAGTAATCTTCCTGATTTATCTAAATTCCTCAGCATATCCAATACCTCAGAACAACTTGATGATGTAACAGAAACTATGGACTCTCTCTTTTCTAGCATTTTAGATATGGTTGCTCCTTTATGCTTAAGGAAGATTAAGGAAAACAGTCTGACACCGTGGTATAATGAGCACACTCGCACACTAAAGAGAGCAGCCCGGAAAATGGAGCGCAGCTGGAGGAAAACAAAACTAGAGGTTTTTCATATTGCTTGGCGGGAAAGTACCCTATCCTACAGAAAAGCATTAAAAACTGCTAGATCTGATTACTTTTCGTCTCTTTTAGCAGAAAACAACCCCAGGGTGCGAATTACACAGTGACCATCTAATTAATTACTTAATGTACCAATTAATCAAATTAATGACATTAATTAATTAACATGCACATCTGCCGATTAAAGATAAAGTTATTATTAAAGATAATGGTTATCATTGTGTTCATTTAGAAAAAAAACACTGAATAGACATTACAGAAAAGTAGCTGAAATATAAGTAGCTTTAAATAGAAATATTTTAATTCAACATACAAAAATACAAATAAATAGTGAAATATTAAATTATAAAAAAAAAAAAAAAGATATATACAACTCTATATACAACTAAAAGTGCCAGTAAGTGGTGGCAAATACCTGTCTTAAGTCAGTGAGTCATTCAATCATTCATTCAGTCGATTCGTTCAAACGGCTGATTCATTCAGAAACAAAGCAAGTGACTGCCTTTATGAATGGTTCACTGAATCATTGATTCACTCGATTCGTTTAAAAACATGGATTCATTATTGAAACACCGCTGTGTGTTGATCAAAGACGCACAACAGTTCTCCTAAGGCTTTATTTTCATTAGTGAAATTACTGACAATGTGTCTAAAATGTAATTATTCACACCTTTACCTTATCTTCATTTTTACGTAAAAACTGTTTTGTAACCTATTTTTGTATTTCAACCAGCCAATGATGATTCTGAAAGAAAACACGCAGTGTTTGTTATAGTAACACATGCAGCTTTCACGCGCATCTGACAGAACCGCTGTATTGCTGTTAATGGTTATTTTAGCAAATAGTTTGCTCCGTAAATTCAGTTCAACAGCATTAATTTGAAGAGGGTAAACTTTATCACTCGACTGAATCTACACATGCATTTTAGGTATTCTTGCTCCGTCCAAGCAATGAATGCACGTCTTTGAATGAGCGCTGTAGCGTATTCTTCAACCGCTCAGGTAATGTCAATACGACCCATTTCAGGGGCTGCCAAAATGATATTTTAAAATCAGCCAGGGCTATAAAAATAAAGATTAATATTTACAAGTAAATCTCCATATTACGCGTAGGCTAGCCGTCTTTCTATCTGACCACCCCCTACATCTAGTTTTGACGTCCATCAGGGGAGATCAAGCCTTCTTTAGGGGGGTCAGACCCCGTAATTCGCACCCTGCATAACCCCAGGTATTTATTCAATACAGTGTGCTAAATTAACGAAAAATAAAGCATCAACAAGTGTTGATATTTCCCAACAGCACAGCAGTAATGACTTTATGAACTACTTTACTTCCAAGATCGATACTTTTAGAGATAAAATTGTAACCATGCAGCCGTCAGCTACAGTAACGCATCAGATAGTGTGCTATAGATCCCCTGAGGAACAATTCCACTCATTCTCTACTATAGGAGAGGAAGAATTGTATAAACTTGTTAAATCATCTAAACCAACAACATGTATGTTAGACCCTATTCCATCTAAGATCCTAAAAGAGGTGCTTCCAGATGTCATAGATCCTCTTCTGACTATAATTAATTCGTCATTGTCATTAGGATATGAAAACCTTCAAACTGGACCCCAAAGAACTAGTTAATTACAGACCTTGGGAGAAATCTCCCATTTCTGTCCAAGATACTAGAAAAGGTAATATCCTCATAATTGTATTCCTTCTTAGAGAAAAATGGTATCTGTGAGTCTGACCGCCATCAATTCGTAGCAGTGAATGAAGAGGTATCATATCGATCACAAGTGCAGTATGGAGTACCTCAAGGCTCAGTACTAGGGCCATTACTCTTCACGCTTTACCTGTTACCCTTGGGAGATATCATCAGGAAACACGGTGTTAGCTTTCAGTTATGCTGATGATACTCAGCTCTATATTTCTTCGTGGCCCGGCGAAACATACCAATTTGAAAAACTAATGGAATGCATAGTCGATATTAAAAACTGGATGACGAGTAATTACTTACTGCTAAATTCTGAAAAAACAGAGGTGTTAATTATCGGACCTAAAAACTCTGCACATAATAACCTAGAACACTGTCTAATACTTGATGGCTGCTCTGTCAATTCTTCGTCATCAGTTAGGAACCTGGGTGTGCTATTTGATAGCAATCTTTCCTTTGAAAGCCACATTTTTAGCATTTGTAAAACTGCATTTTTCCATCTCAAAAATATATCTAAATTACGACCTATTCTCTCAATGTCAAATGCAGAAATGTTAATTTATGCGTTCATGACCTCAAGGTTAGATTATTGTAACGCTTTATTGGGTGGTTGTTACTTAATAAACAAGCTCCAGCTGGTCCAAAATGCAGTAGCTAGAGTTCTTACTAGAACCAGGAAGTATGACCATATTAGCCCGGTTCTGTCAACACTGCACTGGCTCCCTATTAAACATCGTATAGATTTTAAAATGTTGCTTATTACTTATAAAGCCCTGAATGGTTTAGCACCTCAGTATTTGAACGAGCTCTTATTGCAGTATAGTCCTCCATGTCCACTGCGTTCTCAAAACTCTGGCAATTTGATAATACCTAGAATATCAAAATCAACTGGAATAACCAAACTCTGGAATAACCTACCTAACATTGTCCGGGAGGCAGACACACTCTGTCAGTTTAAATCTAGATTAAAGACCCATCTCTTTAACCTGGCTTACACATAACACACTAATACGCTTGTAATATTCAAATCCGTTAAAGGATTTTTACACTGCATTAATAAGGACAACCGGAACCGGGAACCTTGGAACCGGGAACGTCGTTGCTGACGTCGAGATTTGGTTCTTACTGCGGGTGGCTGGTCAGGGGGTAAGAAGTCACAGGGCAGCAGGAGGTTTCTGTGAACCAATCTGTCCCTCCCTTTTCCATTTTTTGGGCTGATCTCATAAACAGGGCTGCCATCTGCTTTTCTCTCATTTACCTTATACACTTGATCCTCCCAGTAGGGCTGAATCTTTCCTGGCCCCCCTCTGGGGGTAAGGTTTCTGAGGAGAACTCTGTCTCCTTGGTGGAGGTCTCTTCCCTGAACTTTCCTGTCGTAGAAAACTTTTCCCCGAGCTGCTGCCTTAATGGCTGTTTTAGCTGCAATCTGATATGCCTCTTGCATCCTCTTTTTCCAACAACTCACATAGTCATTATACATGTCCCGGGACTCAACAACAGATCAATGGGCAGGCGAGGAGAACGTCCAAAGATGAGGTAATAGGGCGCGTAACCTGTTGCCTCATTCTTTGTGCAGTTTTACGCGTGGACAACCTTACCGAGGGACTCCTTCCAATCTTCCTTCTCCTTGTCCTCCAGGGTGCGCAGCATGGACAACAGGGTACGGTTAAAGCTCTCCACCTGCCCGTTACCCTTGGGGTGGTATGGTGTCGTGGGCGAGCCCTGGATGCCAGAAAGTTTCTTCAAGCTGGCCATCAATCTGTTCTCAAACTCTTTTCCCATATTGTGATGTAGTCTGCTCGGGAACCCGAACTTGAGTACAAAGTCGTTGAAAATCTTGTCAGCTACAGTTTTGTCCGCTTTGTTCCTTGTCGCATAGGCCTGCGCGAACCTCGTAAAATGGTCCATGACCACCAATATATACTCATACCCATGCTTACATTTCTCCAAATGCAGAAAGTCTATGGAGACGAGCTTGAATGGATAAGTGGTCTGGATCGGTATCAGAGTGTCTGCTTATTTGGCTTCCTCTTCTTGAGACATTCACACACTCTTGTGACAAAATGTTCAACATCTTTACTCATCTGTGGCCAGTAGAACCGTTCTAGAATCAGGTCAAGTGTCCTTTCGACCCCCAAGTGACCCATGTCCTGGTGCAGCTCTTTAAAAACCAGCGGATGATAAGCTTTGGAGAGCAACTGTTGTTCTCGACGGGAAGTTTTACAGCACAGAACACCATCTTGACCCACAAGAACCTTTAGCCACTATTTCAGCAGTATGGCCACTGCAGGGTTCTCTGCTTTCACTTGCTCTACTTGGCCTCCTGCTCTGTGACTTGTACCAGAGAACTCTTGAGAGGATTTCATAATACTATTATACCTTTTGCTTACCTTTTACTCTAGTGAGTCGACACTTTTCTTCTGATTTCTGGTCCAAGCAATCCTACGTAGTTACCGCTGCACCAAAGTTGTGGTCACATAGTAACTTAGTAATTGTGAACAAAGCGCTACTCAGTGCGCGTTACATGAGCTTTGCTGATTTGATCAGGGGTGAGAGGTTGGCTGGTCTCACTGTCTTTCACCAGGCTCAAAGCACTGACCTGGATCAACCCCACGCCCCAGCAAGGATTCCTCCTTTCCGCAACGACCCTTTCCATAGATGCACTGATTACATCTTGACTGGCCTCAGCCGTACAGCTGTGCATGTAGTCCTCAATATCCAACAGCATCCGTGACAACCCATCAGCATCTGAGTTGTTTTTGCCTGGGTAAAAGATACCTGATTGTGAAGTTATAATCAGCCAACTCTGCCACCCATCTGTGTCCTGTTGCATTGAGTTTTGCGGTAGTGAGCACATACATGAGTGGGCTGTTTTCTGTATATACCACGAACGATGGGGCATGGTAAAGATGATCCCGAAAATGTTTGCAGATGGCCCACTTCAACGCTAAAAACTCTAGCTTTCCAGAGTGCAGATGGTACCTCTTCTCTGATGGACTCAGGGTGTGGGAGCCATAGGCGATCACTCTCATCTTCCCTTGCTGTCTCTGGTATAACACCGCACCCAGACCGACTTGGGATGCATCACAATGTAATACAAATGGCTGGGTGAAGTCAGGATATCCAAGGACAGGATTGTGAGTGCCTCTACAAGCTGATGCAACACTTCCTGGTGAGACCTGGTCCACTTTATGGGTGTCTGTGATGGTAAATGACCATTATTTTTCTTTCCTGTTTTACTGGGCCTCTTCACGATTGGGTCTGGAGTGTGATTTTCGGGGTTTGGGGCAGTGAGTAGGTTACACAGCGGGTGGGCCAAATGGGAGAAGTTGGGGATGAAGGGTCTAGGAGAGGAACCCGAGCATCTGGCATACCTCACCAACGGTGTCTTCTCTTTGAGAGCCATCACTGGAGCCATCTCTGCGGGCTCCATTGTGTAACCCTCTCCTGTCACCAACTTGCCAAGAAACCTCACACTCGATTTAAACAGCTCACATTTCTTTGGGGTCAACTTCACTCCATGATCCTTATAGCGTTGAAGGATAACACGGATATGCTCCAAGTGCTCCTCAAAGCTGTGACTGTGTACCAGGTTGTCATCAATGTACGGGAGGCAAATCGTGTCTCTCAGGTCAGCCAAACAGTACTCCATGCTCCTCTGAAACTCTGCAGGTGCCGAACTCAAGCCAAAGGGTATACGCACCCATTCGTAGAGCCCCCAGGGTGTGATGAACGCTGTGAGAGGCCGGCTCTCCTCATCCAGATAATTCTGGTGGTACACTTTGCCCTGGTCTAAGACCGAGAACCATGAGCTCCCACCCAGAGCATCCAACATATCCTGAATCCTCGGTATCGGATGGCGGTCAGGGACTGACTTACGGTTGAGTTCCCTGAAGTCAACACAGAGACGGAGACTACCTTCCTTTTAGCTGACGCACACCACCGGTGACGAATAAGGGGATCGGGAAGGTGTGATCCACCCTCTTCTCAATAGATCCTGCAGGTACTCCTTAACTTCATTGTGAAGAGGCTTTGGGATGGACATGTCTTTTGGACATGTCTTTTGCAGTGGGCTGGTATCATGGAGGGTGATGTGCATTTTGAGAGAAGGTATACAGCCCACATCATCACTGTCATAGGCAAAGGCCTCACATTCCTCCCGCAACACTCTCCTTACAGCCTCCTGCTGTCCCTCTGAGAGAGGGCAGAGATCCACAGGAGGGTCCCATGAGGTTGGTCTTTTTGCCTGCTTATTATCTGACTGTGGTGTGCTACTTGCTTCGCTGGACTTTGTCTCTGTTCTGTCTTTCGTTTCAGCTGTTGTCTCATTTTCTTTCGTTTGCACGGGTGTTGCGTATATGGTCTTGACGGGTTCCAGGTATCCAATCACTCTATGACGGTCCAGACAGATGGTGCGATCAGTAGTGTTGGTCACAGAGATGGGTATGTATGGCACTCTCCTTTCTGGGATCTGCACCAGTACATCATTGTAGATCATGCCTTCTGGTGGAGAATTAAGCATGTCAGGTGAAAAGATCATGTGTTGGCCTTGTGCTCGTGAACTCACATGTGCTCTTATGTAGACAGTGGTGACTTGGTTAGCTGGTAAGGGCACTCTTTTTCTGCCGGTACGAACTACACCAGTCTCTGAATCACCACTCTGCATTAACTTGACCACATGATGAGCAGTTTTCACTGTTATTGCGAAGGCTTTACTCACTTTGTGTGCCGACTGTTTTTTTCCACCTTTAGTCTTTCCCTCGTTTCTGTTAATGATGGCCTCAATGACGTTGTAGCCGATGATGGGGTCACTGGCAACTGTTGGGTCACTCGACAATAGTATTGGCTAGGGGTTGCACTGACTAATCGACTAGTCGACTTCAATGCTCTGCCATGACGCTTTAAGCTTGACATCGACTAGTCCCTGGTCCTATAGAGGGCGCAACAGGATAAGAAATCTTTGAAGGACTTCCACATTTACACTCCGTTTCCAAACAGTTCAAATGACAAATAAATGCATACTCTGAAAGCGCTCCACAAGACATGTGTGATTATATTACTGGATGCTCGAAATTGAACGGGAGAATGCACGTTTTAAACAGCTTAT